CCCCCCCCCCCCCCTTCATTTTCTTGTATATGATCTTTCTCTCGCGCGCAGACATCATTACACCACCACCCTATATACAAATAGTGAAGCACATTAAAAATATAGCGGTATAAGCTAAGTATTATATAAGTATTGGAAAACTTCCACTAATTCTATGCAAAGTATAGCTTGTAGAATATCATTCATTAAAACTAGGACTTACACGATAACCGTGAGATAATATATATATTTTCATAGTTCCTTTTCCTCTTGAATATTTAAGAATTTTTCTTCTCTCCGTCGAGAGGCGCAGCGTTTTCCGCGCTCAGATATTTCCTGCCCGCACAATCATGACTTGAAAACTAATACAATCAAAACGGCACACCACGTCCTAATTATAGCATTCGCTGTAATTTAGGTACCACTTCGTAGATAGCGTGTACTCTTTTATATCGTCCCCCCCTTTTGTGTCTCTGTATGAAGATTTACACACGCTATATAGATTACATATTATTACATCATAAAATTATAGTTGAGCTCACAACACTCACTATGCCCTGCCGTGTCACATCGAATGACGGAAACAAGTGAAAATCATCGTTTCTGCTTTTCCTCGTATCGTTAAAACGCATCCTTTCCAAGTGCGCTGTTGACTATAATCTCGATACGCGTAAATTTGCCAAAGTACCGTCTCCTCGCTCGGACATTCGCGTTGATCGTGGCTCTATATATAACCCAGATTGGCTAAAATTTATTTCAAACTGGATCAGAAATTGAAATAATTTTCACCATATCTCTTGCGTGTGATACGATTTGTGTGAGTAATTTGGCCAATCTCGCGTAAAAATGTACTTGCGAAACGCTCAACGCAACGATTAACAATCGACAATTCATCGCATCAACTCGCCTTTCGCGAATCAACAAATAATTTCTACGTTAAAAAAATTGATAAATAGGGAAAAAGAGACAAATCCCATTACAAATTCTTTTCAAGAGCATCCATGAATCTTACAATAACCAGAATAAAGAAGTGAAGAATGTTCAAGCATTTATCATCGCGTTCTCAAATTTCTACAATATTAAGCGGAATCTAAAGAAAAGAATCTGACGGTTTTACTTGTTGAATCGCGGCGGTCTCCTCAATCGTGGTATCAATTCTGTCCTGACAGCTCTGGCGTAATTCGGCGCTGCGTACTGATCGGTCACTGCGATTGGGCTCTGAAGACTCTGTATGAACATGGATGAGTCCTGTATCTGACCTACGCCCGCCGCCGCTGCCGCTGCCGCCGCCGCTGCTGCCTGATATTGGTACTGACTATTGGTCATGTCGGCAGTTGGATAGTGATTTGGTTGCACAAATTGCGGCGGATTCTCGTACTGCGGATATGGAATAGAACTCTCTGCAGAGAACTGCGGGATTACCGCAGGATTCACGTTGACCGATGTTGTGGCGAAGCTGCTGGGATCGTAGGTCTGATGATACTGATTCAGTTGTCCAATCTGCGTGGTGTTGAACGGCGGCGATTGCGGAAATTGCGCTGCGGTGTCGGAGAACAGCATGCTTGCAACTGTCGGTTGCGGAAAAGAGTCCGGCCGCGGATACGGTGAAATGCTGGCTGTCACTGCGTTGCTCAGATTCTGGACGTTCGGTATACCAGCGGCGAGAGGTGAAGTGCCGTATCCGTGGAACGTAGTCTGCGAACGGCCGATGGGATCGGCCAGGTCCTTTACACCACCGCTCTGCAGTGAGCTCATCATGTTGAGCTTGGACTTGGCGCCGCCGATTGTTTCATTACCGTGTTTGGCACGTGCATCCGTTAGTAGCGGATGTCGCACGTTCACGATACTCTGCGGGGCACGCAGCGGTGGAAAATTAATCGGCGCCATCTTCGGAACTGAGTTCTGTTGCTGTTGTTGCTGCTCGAGCGCCTTGCGTGCAACCGCAAACGCACTGTTGTTACTATCGTTTCTCTGCGAGACGGCGGTGTATGTGACGCTGGACGGCGTGTGGTTCTCTCTGTGCAAAACAGTTGGCGTCGCGGCCGATTGATGCGTCGCGAATCTTAACGGCAAATTAGCGCAGGTTATCGCAGACGCAGTAGTGCCGCCACTGTTACTGCTACTCCTGCTCTTGTAATCAGGACTGTTCACCGACACCGGTTCCTTATAATCCGATTGAATCGGATAATTCTTGATGCTCGAATCCGCTTCACCCGCAAATTTCTTTGGACCGGCGTAATTCTTCAAATGTTTCACCGGATTGGTCTCGTGTGTGGTATTGTTGACGCAGGTGCTGACAGGCCGTACGCTGCTAAACGCTGTAGAAGAGTTGGACTGTTTCGCGTTGGCGATCGATGCGTTTTTCGTCGCGCTGTGCAATTCGCTTGCAGACTTCAGATTTTCACTGTTACCGTCGTTTTTTTTCATCGATGAATTAATTTTGCCGGTGGCGATCGGGTTCCCAGACGTTGTAATGGTGTGCAAAGTAGCATCTTTGTTACTCATTGCAATATTTGCTGTCCTAACAGACAGTTTGGACGTTCTACTTTTATTTCCCATATGCTCTAACTTTTGCCCGCTTTTACCTTTGTCGGAAATCTGATTGCTAGCTGATAATACTTTGGTGTCCGTATTGTTATTCTGATTTTTAGAAGCAAAATTATTGTGAGGCTTGCAGGTGATGGTGACAGCTGGCAGGAGCAAAGCGCTGGCTCACTTCTTGGTCATGATTTTGAGATATTCCAGAGCATTTTGAGCAGCACTGGCTTGAGCATCTTTACTAGTCGCACCGCAACCATAGCAAACTGCCACTGGCAGGGTAGACAGTTGCACAAGGCACTGGAATTTACCTGGAAGATGGAACAACATTAATGTCTAAATTAATTATGACTGCAGCATTATTTTTATTTTTCGACAAGTATAATTAAGCAATTTTAATAGTTTGCATCATGATTCATGATAATGTGATGTCAAAGATCACCGACATCATATATACATATCTCTACAAATATCTTGCGTAATAAGTAAAGATTACAATGCTTAGCACAGTTCATCGTCAATTTAAAACATATTTGACAGGATACACTGTGACTACATTTACATGCTTATCTGTTTTAATAACATTTGTAGTTATAACCACTAATTAAAAATATCGTGCAAACGCTAGTTTACGCCGGTAATATAATATCAGTTATTACTCGTTATCTATAAGCAGTCGACCTACAAGTAACAGCACAAGTGATCTGTGCACTATGGCAGCTTTAACATCAGCTAAAAACGCCTTGAGAAAAAAAATGAAAAATACTCTTCAAAATATTAGCTTACAAGAAAAAAAGGAACAATCTATAAACGTGATGAAAAAGGTAAGTCAGGAAAAAAACATGTAGATCAATAATATACTTGAACCCTTGAAAAAAAAAGGTTATGTTCTAATGAAATCAAACAGCTGTATATAAAACAATTAATTTTTGACATGATCGAATTATTGTCGCGTTATTTTACAGCTATGCACACTGAAGCAATATCAAGACAGCAAGAGAATCTCGATATATCTAAGTACCAAGGACGAACTTGATACTTTGCCCATCTTAAAACATGTATTTGACACTGGAAAGGAAGCATTTGTTCCACGATATCAAGGAAAAACTATGGAAATGGTAAAACTAATATCACTAGAGGATTATGAGTCATTACCGTTAACAAAATGGAACATTAAACAACCAAGCCTCACTGAATATCGTGAAAATGCATTGGAAACAGGTAAATTCTCATAATAAAGCAAATAAGTCATTATTCAAACTTATTTTAAAAATTTATCAATTAATAATTGAAATCCTGTAAATTTTATCATATATAGGTGGATTAGATTTAATAATATTACCAGGTGTTGCTTTCACAATGAATGGTGAGTTTGGTTTAATAATTATTACAGATGCTTTTACATACAAATAAATGTGTGTATATTGCGTCTCATGATTGTTTTATCTTTATTATTATTTTATAATTAATTAGGAAAACGTCTGGGGCATGGAATGGGTTATTATGACAAATATTTGAAAATATGCTTTAAGAGACAAACCATAAAGCCATATCTAATTGCAGTAGGATTTAAACAACAGATACAACAGGATATTCCTACTAATGAAGACGATGTGCCTGTTGATATTGTATTGGTCGATAAATAGGGGATATATAAAAATATAAAAGCTTGTAATTTTACTTCATGTGTGACATGAATAAAATCATTTTATCTTAGGGGAAAAATATATATAAAATCATTTTTATTATATATCATAAACTTACCACTGATAGATTTTTCTTCAATATCAACATAAGTCACTTCAAACTGCTGCTCTGATGCAATTTCTTGTAAGAATTGTACCAAATTTACATCCCCATCGTTGAAACAGGTATTCTGCAACAAGATTAGAATGGCTTGTACATAACTTGTCTATTTTAATTTACATCAATTTATTTACATAAAAAAAACAGACAATTTCTTTCTGGCTTAAAAGTAGAATAACAATCATCAGAATATTTATTCTTCTATTGGCTTCATCAAATCTGAGTACAAACCTGCAGTTGATAAAGCTTAACACCTGTGGATGACTTGAGACTCTTGTGAAATTTCGAAACTTGGATACTATGTACTGTTGTCAATGTCGAGATTTTGCTACCTTTCAGATCAGCATAACGGGCGCTCACGTTTGCATTTCTTTGCACAATCTATAATGGACAATTAATATACATGTAAAACTTTTGTTAAGCACATAAGTTACAATGCTTTATTAATAGCTACTTGACGTTTACATAAAAACTTAAATGAAGTGGATATGACCCAAATGTATCTCATCAGAGAGAATACACGATTAAATGTAAGTATTACACATTGAAATACGATACTACCAAAATAATGGTCCGTTATAGATTTAAACAGATCGGAAAGATAGCTCACACTTTAAAATGGCGTTAAAGCCAAAATCACTTCCACTTCGCTAAATACACGCGCATTCACATATACACATACATTCACACATACACATGACAAGTGTAAAATGGACACCATCACCAATCGCTTGCCTTTCAATCCTTGCTGTCGTATGTTTGACAACAGCTATCGATCCTGTATCGCATCTCAACAATATTTGTTCCCTTTCTTTTTAAAACATATTTCTAACAAAACCTATGAATTTTAAGGACTATTTTTTGACCTCCATAATTCTGATCAATGAATTTAAATTATCAATTATTTAATATACAATACAAGGAATTACGATTACAAGGAATTGAAATATCCAAACATCAAGGTGGTACTGACAATAGGTATTAAATATACAATATATATACAAATTGACATATTTCATTATTCAATATAACAAAATTATTTAATTAACAAAATGACAATACAGATTCTTACCTCATCCTCATCAACACTGGGAGTTTGGTTATTCATATCGTGTAAAGCTTGCCACATCTTATGAGCGGCATGCCTCTTAGCAACTTTTTTACTTTTTCCTTGACCGACCTCGCGATATTTTAGAATTGAACAAACAATAGTGAATTGTCTTTCATGAGGTAAACCTTCCTCACCCTCCATCGTGTATTTCGGTGGCGGCCAATGGCGCGACATACACATTTCTTGTAAGGCTCCAATTGGGTTATTCACTACTTTCTCCTCTCCATAAGACTGTAGTTCTTGTAAATTTTGAGAGCTGCATAAAAGAAAATAAAGCATAATTTCATATAGTGCATTCAATTGCAAATACTTGAGATATCTCAATATTTGTAACGAGTAATATTCTTACTCGGGTAAACTATTTGGAAGTGGAGATTCTGTAGCTTCGGTATTTACTCCAATTAATTTATCCAGAACAGCTTTTGCAGCGGCATGTTTCGCTTCTTTTTTGGACCTGCCAGTTCCCATTGCTGAAACAATTGGATCTGTTTTTAAATAGCTACATACTTACCGATTAACAATAGGCTACTGTCAATAAGAACAAATAATTCAAAAGATATACGAACCAACGACATCAGCAACAGTGACTCTGTATCGAAATGTAGGTTCATGAATAGCCCCTTCGATTTGTACCAACTCGTACTTGGGTATTGTACCCCTACGAGAAAGTAATTCCTGAAGAACAGAGACTGGTGTTTTGCTGGGTAACGCCTTCATTTCTAAACGTGCTGCCTCGTGTAATGGTAGTTTCTCTAACATCATAGCGTGTAATGTTACGCGAACTCTATTACGACGATTAACATTGTTTGAGTGATTAGGAACGCCACCCACACCAGCCATCATGTTAGGCCCAACCTGTTGTGGTGGATGTATTTCCTCCATAGTAATGTCCTGTGAAATTGTAAATATTAGTGGTTAATGTTTCTTCAATGTCAAAGAATAAAGAAAGATAGAAAGATAAAGTATATATAAAATACTGACTCCATGTAAAAGAAAAAAAATAAAAAAAATAAAAATAAAGCATAAAACTTAACGTTTTCTAACAACTCCAAAAATGAACAACAAAGATAACGAGAATATTGTTGAAGTTTATAACTTCTAATAAATCTTATCCTACATTTCTATCTTCAGTTATATATTTATCTTATCGAGCAGTAACACATATGTAACAGCTAATTTACATGCATGATATGTCCCTAATTATCTTATGCTATACGTATCAAAATCGCAACGCTTACTTCCAATTTCCGACCATTGTAGAAAGATACAAACGATACGTCAGCTCTCAACGATCGTACGTCTTAAAGACGCGGAAACTGGGACGAGCTGTCCATTACGTTAAACGCGACGAAATCGCATCTCAATCGACAGTGCGATAAAATCGTCGGGAGACCGGCATGGCCGCCATGATTGTTATAAAATCCAACCATCGATTGACCGTAATACAACGACGCGAAAAAGATACGCATGGGACTCGCCGGGGACGAGCTGTCGTCGCGCGAAAAATGAACATACAACGTAAACACGACCTCGTTTCCGAGCGATGACGACGACAACGATAACAACGGCGGCGACGACCCGGTATCGGAATAACGGCCGACCGGTTGTATGTGTGTATGTATCGTCCGCTACGCGGTTCGATCCGCGGGGCCAAAGTCACCGGGGGGACAAACACGCGTCTCACACTTACGATTTTTGGGGAGACGTGTAAAGGTTCAGCTGGCTCCTCGACAGGCCAATTCCTATGCGAAAAGCGAATCCCGCTTTTTGTGATCGATCCAAGTCTCACAAAAAGCTTGATCCGTTTGACGACAGAAAAATGGTTTACTGGCTAGCGGAGAATCCCTTCCTCGTTCGCAGCTCTGCGATATCTGTGAGTGTGTCCGTGCATCCCTCTTCACGCGCGTTTATCGCGTTCGAGCGCGCGCGCGCCGATACCTTTATCGTCTGCGGCAGGAAATTATATCGATACTCGATAAAATACCTTCGCTCGGTAAATTAAAGAATCGTAAAGGTGAACTACGTGCGGAGAAACGCATCGCGATCTGATTGGCGGATACCACACGCGATGGCCAATCAGTTGTAGGATGCCATCAGCTCTGTGAAATTTCGAGCAAAGATCTGGAAGACGAGAACGCGTCTATATTATTGCCACGTTAATGGTTTCACTTTTTTCCCTTTTGCGTCACTTTGGATTCGCTCGAGTTCGCGTTCCAATTTGTGTGTACCGTATGCGAACTGTCGCGAGTTATTTTATTCGCGAGTAACATCGAATAATATTGTTTAATAAGAAAATCGAAGAACTTGTGGACGAGGAATATGGGCCGCTATAGAAGGTACGTAGATGCGAATATTGCAATGAAACAGGGCATCTCGTCAAGAACGCTACCCCATTCTAACATTCGCACGATGAGAGACCACTTGACGCGCGTGCGAGCTTACCTTTTCATTATAAAAGTCAGATTTATTAGTATTCTTTCCGAAATTCTTCGACAAGATGTTTCCATAACCTCTTATATTTCTTCAAATTGTGATACACTTTTGCTAGACAGCGGTTGCCTTCTTTATACATGACACTCCTTAAGGACGGACATTTCACTTTAAATTCTGTAAGAATTAGAATTTTAATTAATAAAAGCTTATATATATTATATTTGTCCAGCCGTAGTCGCGATCGGGACAGGCGGCGCAGATCGCGTAGTCGCTCGCGGAGTAGATCACCGCGTGACAGGAGAAGCTGGGGTGGCAGCGGAGGACGCGATAGGCCTTCCAACAGTCGCAGCAGTCGTGGTCAGCCCGGCGCGAATTTAAGGAAACCACGATGGGACCTCAGTCGATTGGAACCCTTCAAAAAGGACTTTTACATTCCTCACGAGGCAGTTCAAAATCGAGATCCACGTATCGTGGAGCAATACAGGGTTGAGAAAGAAATTACGTTGAGGGGCAAAAATATACCTAATCCTGTTTTCAATTTCGACGAGGCAGGTTTCCCGGATTATGTCCTGAAAGAGATCAAGTAAGTAGTAGACGTTACACAGATTAGATCTTTTAATATTTTGTGGTGAGTTTATTAAGTTACCTTTATTTTACATTATAGAAGACAAGGCTTCAGTGAACCCACATCGATCCAAGCTCAAGGATGGCCTATTGCATTAAGCGGCCGAGATATGGTGGGCATTGCATCCACAGGATCTGGGAAAACACTATCTTATATATTGCCTGCGATAGTTCACATTAATAGCCAGCCGAAATTAAGTCGTAAAGATGGGCCTATAGCGTTAGTGTTGGCACCTACACGAGAATTGGCCCAACAGATTCAGCAGGTTGCCGACGATTTCGGACACTCGTCAGGCATTAGAAATACTTGTCTGTATGGTGGAGCACCGAAAGGGGCCCAAGCCAGGGATCTGGATGGTGGTGTAGAAATAGTTATTGCTACACCTGGTAGACTACTAGATTTTCTCGAGTCTGGGAAGACAAATCTGAAAAGATGTACATACTTGGTATTAGATGAAGCTGACAGGATGTTGGACATGGGATTTGAGCCACAAATCAGAAAGATAATAGAACAAATTAGACCAGACAGGCAGACATTGATGTGGTCGGCCACATGGCCTAAAGAAGTAAAGAATTTAGCTGAAGATTTTCTTAAAGATTATGCTCAAATCAACGTTGGTTCTTTACAACTTTCAGCAAATCATAATATATTGCAAATAATAGATGTATGTCAGGACTATGAAAAAGAGAATAAGTGAGTATAAGAGTTTTGAGTGCTTTTGGCTTTTTGTTTAGTTTTTAGCACAGCAGTTATTAACAATTATTGATAGTTACAAGTACACAATTATACTAACAGTTCTGAAGAAAACTGTCTTATCAAATTTTTATAGATTAAGTACTCTATTGAAAGAAATAATGGCAGAAAGTGAGAATAAAACCATAGTATTTATTGAAACGAAACGTAGAGTAGACGAGATAACGAGGAAAATGAAGCGCGATGGTTGGCCAGCAGTTTGCATTCACGGTGACAAGACGCAACAGGAACGAGATTGGGTTTTACAAGGTATAGATGAATGCACGATATTAAATAAACTTTCTGCAAAGAATTCAGAAAAAAACTAACAAAATATATGCATATGTGAAGTGTGCAAGTATTACATTTATATGTAATTTAGATTTCAGATCGGGCAAAGCACCAATCCTTGTTGCTACTGATGTTGCTGCGCGTGGTCTTGGTAAGTAATTCAATGTTTTCTATTACATTATAACGCAACAATATATTGTCAGTTATTTTCCTATAACATGGAAGACAAGCTGATTAAAATTCACGGTATTAATTTCAAATCCCCAAAATTATAAATTTTTTTCTTTTTTATATACAATGCTCTATTCTGATCAAAAATTCTTAATGTAATGTAATGTTCCGTTAAAAGCATAAACTTAAAGATACAAACAATTTAGATTGAAACATTTAAATTGTAAATTTGAGAATCTTTTCAAGAATTTTGCGCTATACGAAGTTGAGAATAATACGTGCGAGTTAATCTTGTAACAAATTAAATAAGTCAAATCATACATATATATCGATAATGCCGAAGAAATAACAGAAACCAAATGTGTCCGTTGCATAAGAACTGACCTTGGCTTAAACTAATTTATATGGCATATTACACATGCAAACTTTGTTAATTGCAATTACGCGCATTATATTTAAATTCGGATCTTTTGTGCGAACGGAACATTACAGTTTTTAACGCGTTGTAAACTTGAAATCAGAAAGAAGGGAATCAGAGAGAAGGAATAGGGCAAAAGAAAATGAGCAAAAAGATATGAACATATTGAAACAGGAGGATGGTTGGAGGTAACTATACAGCTAACGCGGTTGGATCTTTGTTTGTATTGCAGAGGCACATTGCGCGCAGGCCCACGCCGGGTAATGCAAAGCATGTCGGGGGTGCCCGCCGCCGCTCTTTGTTCGGTGGTGCACTGGTTTGCATTGTCTGCGCTGGCCGCGACGCCGTGCCTCTATCCGTCCGTCCGTCCGTCAATCGCGTGTGAAGTCCGGCCAAGTCCGGGCCAAATCGGGATCTACTACTACTACTACTCTACTACTACTACTTTACCTACCTACCTACATACTGGATATCAGTCCTACTGCGCTGCGCTGTACGCCATCCGGGCTGGCTGGCCAGGTCGTTGTTGCCAGAATAGAGTCCCCTGCGCTGGCACGCTCAAGCTAATCAGACAACCAACAACGTTGGTCCGTTGAGACGGTGGCATGTGATAGCAGATATGCCAGAGCCTCTCTTAGCGCGCCCTGCGCCTGTAGCGACAGAGTGGCGGAGGCAGTAGCTGGAGCGAGCGCAAATAGCCAGGCCCTGCCCGTACGTTGCTAGCGAAACACTCGCCCACTGCCTAATATATTTTAGTAAAATATAGTTAAAATTTTTTTAATTAATTGACATTTACATATATACACTCGCATACACACACACGCATACACATATATACACTCACACACACATACATACACTTATACGCGTATATATAAATACATGTATGTATACATGCGTTTGTCTTGCCTGTGTAATTATTAACTTATTACGAATAATGTCTGTCAAACTGCTCGTTTGTCTACATATATGTATATATATACGAGTATGAACGCATAACGCTCACAAATCTACTTATCACTTTTATGTCCCTTTAAACTGTACGCATTCTCTGACCCTCTGTCCTTTTAATTCCTATGATGACCAACACCATACAGTCGCATTTTTTTATCATAACTAACTATTGTACCATGTGAATTTGTCACATGGTACCAGCCCACGATTTCAGTCTCTTTTCTAGATATCAGTCATTTATATTTGTTGGAAAAAGACTTTAAACGCATTTTTATAATCTCTTTGCTTCTTTTTTTTTGGAATTATAATAAAGTCAAAGTATTCATCATCGTGATATTTAGGAAAGGAAGAGTCAGAATCGTGCTCGGTTTAACGGTTTGTTTTTGTTTTATATTCTTTTTACAGAAAACCTTACTTATCAAAATTATAACAAAATCGTGTCACTAAAAAATTGTTATTTTTATATAACAGAATTCTTTACGTTCAATCTTTTTTGTTGTAAATTTTTAAATGCAAGAATCAACGCAATAATATCCGTATTATTACGTAGTTTCTTCGTGAGCATATCGAATGTCGTTATATAATTTATTGTAATATACCGTCCGGTAACATTCAAGACCTATACTCGACTTGCGGTGTTTCACAATCCTTGCAACACTATTACTGTCTTAACCCATATCTGTCCTCAACACTGAAATCCCACAAAAAGTCGGGCCAATCTAATGTCAAATCTTAATCTTTCAGACGTTGAAGATGTCAAGTTTGTCATCAATTTTGACTACCCCTCCTGTTCCGAGGATTATGTTCATCGTATCGGTCGTACCGGCCGTCGACAGAAAACCGGCACAGCGTATACTTTCTTCACGCCCAACAACGCCAACAAGGCCAACGACCTGATACAAGTACTGAAGGAGGCAAATCAGGTGATAAATCCGAAACTGTTGGAGCTCGCCGATGGTAAAGCTGGCGGATATGGCAGAAACAGAGGTATTTCTAAAACGAGTACACCGAGAAACTATTATACATTGCATGAAGTTGAAGCTCGTGTAAAGACGATCGAATTCACGTCGACAGGTGCAAGAAATCGATGGCGATCTCGAGGCGGTGGAGGCGGTGGTCGTAACGGAAAGGAACGCAGTTACTCGCGAAGCAGAAGTCGAAGTCATAGCAGAGAACGCAACGGTCGTAGCAGTCGACGAAGCTATAGTCGTAGCTATTCGCGAAGTCGTAGCCCCATTAGTAACCGTAACGGTAAGTTGCTATGCTACCGAAAAGCTATTAAAGCCTGGTGAAACTAACGAGAAATTGTTTCTCCTCAGAGGTTATCGGCAAGAGTTACTGGAGTAGCGAGAGATGATCTTCCAGCGGCGGCTAAAAACGTGTCTGTATTTACGAGACAGGTAAATTTTTTTTACGTCCAATAAAAGCGGTGCATCAGCAAGATAATGACTGTTGAAATCACCGATTTTAAATGAAACATACGCTATTCGCAATAAGTTATTTATGCCGAGTTTAATGGGACGCTATTGTAATTTTGCATACAGTAGCATATATACGTCTTCGTATCCCATGGAATCGCCATTAAGCTGGCGCCAGATTATGCGGGTTAATTCGCGATTTATGAATAGCTGATGGAAAAGATAGTCGAATCGCGAACGATAAATCAGGCTTTCCGCATTGGCGAACGATAAATCTTTCGCGAATTACTGTGAAATCACGAATAATCTAGCGCCCTAGCTTTTGACTTGCTGTGCAACATATTTGATAGTTTGCTGACCACATTTACACGAATCTATTATATCAACTTCAATATACTGATCGTCGCTGTCGTAAGATAAGCTTTTATGCAATTCATGTGTATTTGTAATATTTAAAGTATACTTGGATTTGGACAAGTGAAGATATTTTAATTGCTACTTGTTATATAATGATAGAATGTGCTATCATTTTTTATTTCCTTTTGCATCTTCTCTGCCGCATCTAATTTTTTCCCTCTCAAGTGTTATCTATATACACCAGATTTAGATTAGATATAATACGAATACATTACAACGCAAACTACCGTTTATATGTTTTTATAACTCTCTACTTCTTACATCCCAGTAGTAAAAAAAAAAGAAAATAAAACTAAGATGATGTAAGCGAATGAATAAATCTAATCATTATGCAAACTAAACTTCCAGAATGTAGCAACGTTTAATTTAGTATATATATATAATATAATTATATATTATATATGAAATAATATAATATATTGATATAATATATAATTATATATTTTATACATATAGAGATCGTAATTATAAATGTCTAGCGCGCTTATATTTGTAATTTATTCGTCTGTATTTAGACAATTGCGACAGATAATAAATAATAATAATAACACTTGATGTACAGTATTTCACCAATGTGACACAAATAAATTCGTATAAATGTGTCTAAATTATTATACATCATTCCGTATTACACTACTAATACACATTGGCTCCTACTAGAATATTTTTCAATGACTATGTTATTTTATTAGTAGCCACTTACCTGTGATGCACTCGGCGATAATATATCTATAAATTATATAAGCGCTACATTAATTTAATAAAATATAATAAAATCATTCATCGTAAAAAAGAAGTGGATCCTAATTGTAGCGATTGTCGGAATTACTTCGTTAATCATGTAGGGAAGAGTAAAACAACAAAAGAATGAAAAATGACTCATACGTAGGATCAATTTTTCGCCCCGTTCTGTTTAATTTAATTTATATATCTTAATTACACACACAGTGATAATGCTTAAAGGTCTTACGGTAATTTTAGAATACCGATTCTGTTTGTTGTTTTCTCAGCCTAATGTGCACCGATCTTCGGTTCGGTTGGCTTCGCATCCTCTGGTGGCCGATCCCGGCCACACGTGCGATACTTTGTTGACAAGAATGATTATTACTCAACCAATATAAGATGTACACCGGTGTAATTGACGATCTAATGAGTTTCACGCTGGAAAAGATCCCTTCTTTTTTTTTATCGGACTATGCGCCACGATATAAATTTATTATGTTACACATCTTGAATATCGTGCTTTTGCACTCACGAATCACAAACATGCAATATCTTCTTCTTTACGTTCTCGACGCGTGCTCGCTCGAGAGTCGATTGTGCCCTCTTTCGCCAAGGGAGGACACGATCCTTACGATTATTATGGACAACGTTTAATATCCGCTCGTCGATACTTATCCAGGACGCGAGCGCGGTTTTATAGGGGATTAATTGAAACGGTGATCGTGACTCGATCGCGATTACGGCGAGGAAATCTTCGACAGTTTCAACCGAAAGTTTGAGGCACCTTTGAATATCTATAGAAAGAAGCGCAAGAAATTTCTATGTACTTTATTATAGCACAATCGCATATTTTAGAAAGTATTATTATTCGGTCTTTATAAAAATTTACCGCGTCTCGTTTTCTCAATTCAAGAGTCCTATAGAGAGGACTCATCAGAGATGCCTCGTATTTTCGGTCGAGACCGCGCAAGACTCGCTTATCGTTTGTCCGTGATTGTAAGAAAAAACGATACCGATGTCCCACTAATCGTAATGTTAACGTTAAAGTGCGATTTTTTTGTGTCTTCGCAATGCAAACGTGCGCGGGATAACGCGAGAATCTCTTGTGAGACACGCACAGTGTGCGTACGTGCGGCTTGTGTGTTTTTGTGTACATGTGTTCAACAAGCTCCTCGCATGAATTTTTGGGGTAAAGGAGGAATTTATTTTGTTTTTACAGAGGGCTCAGCATGCTTCGTTCACATATATTACAACGTACGCATATAACAATAACATTAAACCCTTTAGGTGTGTCTTCGGACGTGGGAGAGAGCTATGTGTGTGGCGCGCTTATAATTATATTTGCGATACAATGGGATCTCTCGTACTTCGTATCTCGTGCAAGGGTCATATATTCATGTGTGTGTGTGTGTGTGTGTGTGTGTGTGTGTACTTATGTGTGTGAGACGCTATGTGTTCTTTTTTGGTGTGCGAATCGATCTCGCTTGGATTCGAGTGACTCCAAGCAAGCGAGTGACAAGTGTGAGGGTGAAGTTTTACACGGTCGTCCCCAACTTCCGGTCACCGGAAGTAACCTCCTCAATCCGCGCGATATATCCCGATCGTTTTATCTCGAAATCTTTACTTTTTAGCGTTACATTTACGACTTATTGTTAGAATCGAGGAGGGCACGTGATCCGGTGACGCGTGCCGGCGCGTGCGTGCAGCAGATTCGATGATATCTAATTAAACATCAGTCAATTGTCCACAACCGCTAAAATATCCGAAAGCCTCGTCTCAAAGAGCCAGCGGCTTCCAAAAAAGAAGCGAATTGATGATGGGAGACGAGACAAAACGTTGGAGGCAATCGTTGCTCGGTCGCTCAAATTAAAGGCGTTCGCTAAAAATGTCATCAATTTTTTATACCTTCGTTTTCGATATGCAATCATGAAGCCGGACAATTCGGGGAAAAAGACAATTTCTCGCACTCGTTATTATATGGCTCTATTGTCAAACTATCCGTGTAGATTCTACGATTGCTCTTTTGTGTTGTTAAGAAATCGTTAGAAAGCACAAGAATAATTTTTTAGATTGACTTGTAATATCTTTTATATCGAGATAATACATATAATCTCTCGGTCGTATTTTCTCGTGACTTCTTTCGCGCGCAAAAAAAAAAAGGAAGCGAAGTATCTCGGAGCACGAATTTTTATTATGTTGCGTTGATTAAAAAGATGCAGAAAGTTTCAAGCGATCTACTAACAGCCTGTAGCTATCTCTGCAAAAGATTTCGCGACGATTTAAGTCTGTCGATTCGGACCGCTCGATGCATCGCGCATCTACGAGATTCGCTAATATAAACGTGCGCGCGAGTCTATACGCTATCGAGAGATTCGATAACCGTTGTACTATATATATACATAGATCTCTACGTGTAATCGTTTCGTAAATACTGGCTTTGTGTCCCTTCGTGTCTCTAACACGTACAGAAAGAGACATCCCTTAAGTATATATGGTGTCGCTCACTCCCGGCTCACGCAGAAGCCAGTAATATACCGGGTGTTTACGCGCAAACAACGACAGTCTCCGTGTAACATATTAAAGCCGTAGCCACGGTATAGACGGATGCGGAGAATTTGAAACGAACCGGACAAGATAGAAAAACAAAGATGACGATCGCTCTCGTCTATACCACATCTACGATCTAATTATTCTACATAATATTCGAAAAATCCAAGCAAAAAAATAAAAATCAAGTGTCCCCTCCGATTACTGCTAACGTTGTATGCACGATAATACTGCATGATCATTATTCTACTTAAATTACGTGCGTGAAGCGGCGTTTTAGATATTTCACGCGCAATCGATTCCGATTCTAACATACATCCCGATTTGCAAATATGTACCATTAGTCTGAATTGCGCGAAACAACGAATTACGAGTCGAGAGATTACAGTATTCATCCGTTGAAGATTGATTTTGTTCAATTTTTCCAATTGTTAAATTTAAAAAAAATGATTAGTGTGCGACGAGGTGTATTATTGTTATAATGGCGGGAAGTTGACTTCATTTCTGCGAAGGTTTGACGCAAGATTTTCGTAGCTTTGCGTATGTAGATATTTCTCGGCTACCGGAAATAATTCTCGCTTGTGATTATTTGATTTTATTTCTCCAGGATTTAAAGAGATCTGCCTAAATAATACTTAGAAGTATAATTTTTACTTGAATCGTGTGACGTAAATATAAACTCTCGCAGTTTAATATTCCTTATACTTTTACGATAATATTTTCGAAAAGTGCGGCGATTCGTTATAAAAAAACACAGTCACCGTTAATGACATTTGTATCTGCATTTACGACGATTTTCCCGCTTTCGTAAGGATACTTTTCGTTCCATACGCGTGATCCCGGCTTGTTATACCCAGAGACACAGATGCATCTTTTGTTTTAAGTTACAATATCGAATCTTGGAATAACGACATCGATATTAAATCGCATTTATCACACGAACAATTGTAATTGTAGAAAGAAGATGAGTTTATATACTCCGAGTATAACACGCAATCCTACAAGGGCGCGAGATGTATTAGCCGACGTCGCGAGCGGATTGTCGAATCCGCGAAATAGTTACTTCTTCTTACGCACGCGCATGGTATCGATTGCACGAAGTAAAAGGAAGATACGAACGGGGAGAAACGGAGGGATGCAGATCGGACGCGCGTGAATCTCCGTTCATTGCAAATTATCAGTCGGGGACGAGTTATTCCCCCGACAATCTTCTGGATTCGAGATTAGGGACGCGGCTCTTCAGAGAAATAACGCACGCAGGAAATGGCATGCCCGATCACGCACCCTCCTGTTTCCTCGTTAACCACCGAGTACGTAACGGAATGTGCTCTCGTCGAGGCTTACTGGGGTCGCCGTGTCGTCTCTCGCTTGAGGGTAGCGTCTCCCGTCGAGTTTCAAAAAATACAACTATCGTCCGCACCGCGTTTTCTTTCTTTCTTTCTTTCTTACGTTTTTTTTCTCTGTGAGCACGTTCTGCGTGTCATCTCCTCGTTCCATCCGCGAGGTCGACGACACCGCAATTCCTCGCAACAAGTAGAATAATAAGTCGACGGGGGTAGATTTTCACGCGCGGCGTCGCCGATCTCTTGTGAGCAATATATGTGTGATAGCCCCGAGCCGGGTATCTCCTCTTCTCCCTGGGCGACCGACCCGGGGCAGCGGAAAAAGAAAATACATTCGTCCGCGAATTGCGCGCGACGCGACTGCTTCACCGGTATTTTGTATCGCGAGTCCGCGCTCGCCCTCGGCTCGCATTCGCGTCTGCACGTTAATCTTTATCCGGGCTTCGAATTATTTTCGTAAAAAAAAATAACATCTCCTTTACATTCATTCACTGTTTCTCTGCAATTCGCCCAAAATATTACGAATTCTCAATTCGTTGATAATTTACGCCAAATAATCGCTTCGGCGAAAGCGTATTAGCTTTTCTTCTTAGAAACGGGAAAAGAATCGCCCAGATAAGGATTAAAATTAGCGATACCAAGGCGTCTCTCGTGTTGTATATTATCAGTGATGAAGGAACAGATGGTACCTTTCAAAGCGTCCACTGATGTTAAGCGTTAAATTATAACGGTTAGTTTTCCCGATTTAATTTTAAACTTCGCGATAACTGTTTTTTTTTTTGCTTCATATCTTTCTTTTATAAATTATAAAAAAAGTAAATAGAATAGATAATAGAAGAAATAAATAGAAAAAATACAATAACTCAAAAACACGTGCACTTTTGAAGCTCCTTGGCACCGCTAGAGTTGATAAACCTGCCAGCTCATACTAGCAGGCTGTTGTACACTCGGAAAACTATCGGAACATTCGACACTTCTAAAGATATATCTCCCAATATTTTGCAGCGTCAAACATTCCGGTCAATCCCCCTGTGCAGCCTTAAGAAGGGGCAACACGTGGCACAGCGAGATAATGCAGACCGCTCCGTATTCTCTGTGAAACGACAATGAAACATCTCCTGTACAAACATTACCGATGCAACTATCGTTTTGCGAAGAAATCGGAGCGTGATCGTCATTACCATGAAATGTCGCGGGTTATTATTTTACCCCGTTTTTTATGATAATATTTACCGAATTCGGAATCGTCCGACGTCAATTCGCAACGACGGACGCGTCCGCAGATTGCGCGTCGACGAACGAGAGCTCGCTCGCTCGACGACGCGTCATTTCGCGCAACGTAGATATAATTATATTTGTAAATTTTACGCTTTTTTTTTTAAATTGTTAACAGGCCGTGGCTATACAGGGCCCACTACGCTTTCAGTTCAGTCTGTGGCACGCGGTCTTCCGAGCGGGTCATAAGGTACGGTGTGCGTGTGTGTACGTGTATTAAATGTGTAAAGTACGCTCGGGTAATGTGTTACGTTTTATCGTCCTCATCGTTTTTACCCACCGTCGTAAGATATCTACCGAGCATCGCTAACATCCTCGTTGCGCCTTGGATGATCCTCGTTCTGGAATATTTTCATTTCGGGCGCGGGCAGTAGAGGAATCTCTTTTCGTCGAAGTGCCTCTGATCGGTCCTTATCGAGTAAACGCGATTTGACTGCGATCTCGTTGATGTCAAAGACTTTTTTGAAAGATCGACAATTTTGTAAAGTTGCCTCGAGTCATCTCTTCAAGGATCCGACTTGGCTTCGTACACACCATTCTGATTCCGTCACACTTTCCTCTTCTCTTTCCTCACTTCTTCATGCCGTCGTTATCGTCGCCGCGAAACAGATAAATAGACCAGTACGCGAAATTGAAGAGAATGAACATGAGAGGGAAGGCAACGCGCGCGAAGATATCGATCCTCGCGCTGCCCTGGGCACGGCAGGTGAGCAGTTTGCGCGATAGGTCCCAGCAGCCATTTCGCGACGATACCGTCGCCGGTGCGGGCGGTGGCACCGCGGATGACGCCGGCGCAGCGATCGGCGGCGAGGGCGTCGCGGCGCGCGACATGGTGCGTGACGGCGTGCCCAACGGCGATGCCGAGGAGGCCGGCGAGGGCCATCGCGACGGCGATGGCGACGACCTCGCCGAGCTCCTGCGCGAATGGTGTCGCGGTGCCCGCATCGGGGAGCACCGGCCGGTGACGCAATCTTCGTCGTTTAACGGCGAGAAAGACGGCGACGGCGAGCGATCCGGATGATAACGCTGATGACGATGCGACTGATGGTGATGCTGCTGCTGCTGATGATGATGATCCTGCTGATACATACGCGGCAGCGAATGATGCTGCGATATCGTCTGATTACCGCCGGCACGCTGATGACGCTGTAGCTGCTGATGGTAGTGATGGTGATGATGATGGTGATGATTGTGATGATGATTCTGAGGAGGATGATGATGCTGATGATTCTGATGGTGGTTGTACGGTTGTCGGTGACGAGGACGCGAACGTTGTTGCGGCGGCCGTGTCTGTTGGAACTGTTGTTGCTGAGGATGGCCGCGAGCCACTTCCCTTGTTGATCCGAGCGCCTCCTCCTCGTGATTTACTCGCTGTCCGTCTCCTCCCGAAACAGGTACGTGGACCAGTACGCGAGGTTGAAGAAAGCGAATACGATTGGGAAGAAGATCCGTGAGATAACGTCGATGCGCTTGGACCTCGTCGGGAACTTGGACAGCCACGACCTGCAGCAGTTTTTTTTCCGTGGTTGCATATGTATTTCGCACTGCCGCAATTTATCCATCGACATGGAATCCTCCGGGTGTCGGACGAGAGGCTTCTGAAAGAATTCGGGCGATATTGATCCATTAGTTACTGGCACTGCTTTTCCTTGTTTCCGCAACTCAAGCAATTTTGATTCTCTCCTTTTTGCCGAATAAGAGAAACTAATTCTGTAATTTTATTTTAGACGTGGAAATGTGAACAAACTCGACACGTGAAAAATTCAGATCTCCAAGTCCATTTTAGACGATCTAACTCGCGATGAAATTTAAAACGGAAATCTAATTTATAATTTTATGTGTCGCATTTTTTTAATATATATGTATATCCTAATATGTGTATTCTTTATATTGTGTATTTTATCATTTCAAATAATACGCAATACAAAATTATAAGTAAAATTCTGTCCCGAATTTCGCGAATTACAAATGGGGCAACACTACTAAATTTCCTTGTGTTCAGAATTTGTAATTATACTTTTCCTCGTAACGAACAAGCAAGTTGAATAAGATTCCAAGAGGAACGTTCAATTGAAATAGAAGTTCCCGTAAAAGCACGACGACCATCTCTATAAAGCATCCCGAGCGTGCCCGGAATCTCGTGAAACGTATCGTATATATCTATGGTTCTTGGCATACTGACCATGGCGAAGTTGGCGGATCCGTCCGGCTCGAGCAGCTCCGAGGATGGGTCGATCGACGACGAATGTTCCATCTCGCTTGGTGGAAACTGCTTCTTTATGTTGTCGCTGTGCATGTCGCTGCGCGACGCGTAGTTGACCAACGCGAATTCGAGTAGAGCGCCGAACACGAAGGTCAAGCACACCCCCGTCCAAACGTCAATGGCCTTGGTATAAGAGACCGGTGGCAGTGAGGCATTTATCCCTGATGTCTGCGTGGCCATCGTCAGTAGTGTCGTAACGCCTAAAGAAGGACAGATGTTAGCGGATATCTCTCCGATAATAAGAGAACGAGAAGAATCGTAATAAAAAGTATTCAGAAAGTAGACAGTTACAATTTGTCTTTTTTTAAGAATCAGAATAATGATTACATTGATCGCTCGTATTCTACAAATGATTCATTTTGAGATCTTTATGTTGTCGCTGTGCATGTCGCTGCGCGACGCGTAGTTGACCAACGCGAATTCGAGTAGAGCGCCGAACACGAAGGTCAAGCACACCCCCGTCCAAACGTCAATGGCCTTGGTATAAGAGACCGGTGGCAGTGAGGCATTTATCCCTGATGTCTGCGTGGCCATCGTCAGTAGTGTCGTAACGCCTAAAGAAGGACAGATGTTAGCGGAAAGTAGACAGTTACAATTTGTCTTTTTTTTAAGAATCAGAATAATGATTACATTGATCGCTCGTATTCTACAAATGATTCATTTTGAGATGCGTGTCCTCTCTCCTTCAATTCTTTCCAGCATTTAAAAGTTTTAATTATTTTGCACATAAATTTAAACTCTCGAAAGTCTATTTTAATTTCTATCTCGCAATGATTATGTTTCACTCCTCATTACCAATATTACATTCGACAACTGTTATAATTCTATACTTCTGTTATTGCCAAAGAGACGCCAATAAATATGTAAATGAGCAATCAAAGTTCTGGGTTATCCGATAACATGCCTGGACACGTTCGCTGCGCGTTTAGAGATTAGCTGTGATAATTTGTACCTAGTGACACCCGGGCAGGCACGGCGCTCTGATCCAGCCAGAAAGACACCCAGGACACGATAACGAGCATGCAGCACGGGATGTAGATTTGGATGAGATAGTAGCTGAATTCCCTCTTGAATAGCAGGTCCACTTTCAAGCAACTGTATTCTCCTGTTTTTTTTTTTTTTCATCCAATAATCTCATCAGATTATGCGAGTTTTCGTCTAGTGTAATCTGGATGCAATAGCGATTTTACTTACCGGTGTTCGTTTTACTATTGCAGTAATCCGTGAGGAATTTCTCCAGGGTGAACCTGGGTAGATGTAAATTCTTGACCACTTGAACGGGATCGCCTTCCTTCCAGAGAAAGACCAAGTCGTTCGTCGTCCATCCGTCTATCGGGGAAACGGGAGGGGGCGAAAATATAATTATTTTAATCCGCGAATATATATTCTCGAAAGTAATTATTATTCGAATTATTTTCTCGGTAACGATTATTGCGCGTGTAATCGCGATAGTTACATCTGTTACAGCGAGTTACTTACAACTAGCCATACGAAGTGAGCAAATTTGTCGATCCAGGGGATACAGTTTCAGATTCATGGGACAGGAGAGCGTTAAGGATATCCTGCACCAGAAGAAAAAACAGATTTATATATAATCTGGTGGAAAAAAAAAAAAAAAAAAAAAAAAAAAAAGAATCCAATTCGCAAATGTATGTACGCGTGTTTGATTGTCATGCGCACAGTACATACGCAAAATAGATCTCTCCGATGTGTACATTAGCGAAGCGAATTTCGCAACATTCGATTATACGGAGAATGAAACGCGCTACAGATAATGTATACTGGTTTATATCGAAGCGACATGAAATTTAAATGTCGATCGGATAAACTCGGACGATAAAACACTGCGTGCAATGTTTACAAAAAAAAAAAAAAAAGCGCTTCATCGATCTATTATAAAAATTACGTCATCTCGTTGATTAAATCGATTTTTGGCGGGTGTTGCAATATCCACGATACTCACCGTATGCTGTAAAGAACCGAGCCATGCGGGAAAATTCGTATATATACGTTGGGCATAATGATGTTGTGGAAATGACCCTCCTTCTCGTTTGAGAAAAACAGATCCGGCATCCAAACCCTCGACGCCTCCGTAAGAGTTAAATATTTAAGTTTACCTGCAACGAACAGTCGATTTTTTCATTCCACTGAAAAATCGGTGTACATTTGGTGTGCGTCGCTCGTTAACATACAGTTCGCGGTAAACGCATAAAGAACGCGAGAGCGGCAATTTATGAAAGAGAAGAGATAAAAGTGGCCACTGTTAAATTTGCGTAACGACGGTTGCTCGTGAGAGTAAAATGTTATGACTCGTCCTTTACGCGACATGGAAAAAAGGTATAATATAAATGCCCTTTATATGTGGGTATTTTCGCATATATATCCTACTATATATGATATTATTGCGTAAAGATACTTTGACATTTGCCCAAATTAAAGGAGAATGAAGTTTTGGTCGAGCTCTTTTAATTTTCCATCATGAAACGTTTGGGAGAATATATTCAACGTTTAAAACTCTATTATATATATTTCTGTACAGCTAATATGATATTCTTGCGGAACATCATATACGCATATTGCAATGAGTTATTCCCATTTTATCGTATATAATTTTTATTAGCGTCAAAAAATATCAATACTAAAAGTATCTCGCGCGAGAAAAATTCAGATTAAGCATAAATATAAAATATTATTTAAAACATTTACATACCTCCAAAGTCATTAAATCTTAATCTCTCATCCAACCATTGTTCCCGAAATGTTAATTGTACGGAGTATTCCTAGAGAGAAAGAAAAATTGCGATTAAACAAAGTCCCGCGTGAGATGGCGGCGAGTTGTTTCCTTTTCTTCTTTCCGACACCCGCGAGCGATAGTTTTCCCAATTATAAAGTTTCGTAAAGTAAAGAAAAACCAACGTGCGAGAGGAGAAATGAAAAGCGGCAAAAGTCTAAATCGCCAGAATCTCGAATCAGATAGCATTTATAATGGCAGTCTATAGTTATCGTAACGAAAGAAGAAAATAGCTTTATGCAAATGATGGCTTTGCATTTAACGAAGAAACCACGATAATTACAATTTTATTTTTAATTCAATAATTATCATTCTCAGAAACGCGAATTCTCCCCGGTGTATCCAATAGTAATATCTCGACGCGAGGAAGAAAACTTGATAAAGTTGAATAAACGAAAATTTATTTGCCCTATATAATCAATTCTCTCTATTCTAGAGATTCGGTTAAAATATACTCTCGCACTTATAAAAGATTACTCGTATATTTCGCGACAAAGAGAATTTATTTCTACCTCTGTATATATAAAATATTATTGCAACGTCAAATTGATCATCGATATTCTTACCGTGAAATAATGATCGTCGATACAGATATGGATAATAAATTATATTGCAAGTAAAAAGATATTCTTATCAAGTCAATATTATCGAATGTTCTGATTTCGTTTTTGCAATTAATACAATTTTATATCTTTCCTCTTTTCAATTTATTGTCAGATCGTAATCGAGATATCGCGTTGCGTTACGTATACTTATACTTATACATCATGTAATTGACAATTTTAGCAGAATAGAAAAGAAGTTACGTAAACTATTGTTCAGGTCATTTCTATGCCGGAAGGATATTCTACGTGATTTTAATCTACGATTATAGATTAACGAGGTCAGCAACATTCGTCGATCGACGATCATATCTGCCGGATTAATCTCTCTTGGAGTCATCGCGTACGTCGATCGAAGCTAACTCGTCACGGATCGAACCGGTACATCAAGGTAGCAGAACGTCATTTCATCGACTCGAATACGTTACGTACACGTATCGATCCGTGACGACTATCTATTATCAACCGGTACATATATGTGTCGAGAAATGTGTATCATCGCGGCAGAAGATGGGAAG